GCAGATTTTTGATAATAAGTGAATGCCTTATGTTCATCCTTTTCAACTCCAATTCCTTCTCTGTAACAATATCCAAGACTGTACATTCCGTTAGAATTACCCATATTAGCAGATTTTTGATAATAAATGAATGCCTTATGTTCATCCTTTTCAACTCCAATTCCTTCTCTGTAACAATATCCAAGATAGACCATTCCGCTAGAATTACCCATATCAGCAGATTTTTGATAATAAATGAATGCCTTATGTTCATCCTTTTCAACTCCAATTTCTTCTTGATAACAATATCCAAGATTATGCATTCCTATCGCATGACCCATTTCTGCCGATTTTTGATAATAAATTAATGCATCATTCTTATCTTTTTCAACTCCTACCCCGTTTAGATAGCAATCACCGAGAGAATTAATTCCATAAGGATCACCCATACTTGCCGATATTTGATAGTAAATAAATGCTTTATGTTTGTCTTTTTCAACTCCAAATCCATGTTGATAATAAATTCCGAGATCACAAATTCCATTAGAATTTTCCATCTCTGCTGATTTTTGATAATGAATAAATGCTTGATGATTATCATTTTTAATCCATTTTCCAAACTCATAACACATTGCAAGAATATGTTGAATGATAGAATTTGTTTGAACAATGAGGTTTGTTGGGTTATTTAAACATAAATTTATTACTTCTTCTGGGTTTTGCTGCTTATTTGTAAAATGCTGTTCTATTGAGTAAATAATTGAGTCATTATTGTTTCCTTTCATAATTTCTTTATTATACACGCTACATAATTCCTCGATGGCACTATTTAAAAAATCCTGCGAGTTATGCGATGATCCATCCACTTGGTTTGAAGTACCAACAACCCGAAATTTGTCATTGTTAATAAAGCTTTTTTTATTTGACATAATAAGTGATTAAATCATAAGATACGTGTGATATATCGAACAAGAAAGAAATCGTTATAGCCTGAAACAAATTATTTAATCAACTATTACAGATAAACAAGTACCTATATTACAGTTAAACAAGTACCTATTTTGTACGTACGCACTATTATATGCTGTTAGTTACGGCGTCTTAAAAGTTACGATTGAATCGGTATGTTACACGATAAAGCAAATACAAATCTTACATGTCGCAATTTAAAATTGAATACGAAATTAAGTTATAATTCAGTTACGGCACGGCATGTTCCATGCTTTTGAGGTTCTACTACACCTCTTGTGTAAATTAGTAATTTCTTTTATACATGTGATTAAATATTATGTATATGTAAGCGAATATATATTAAATATTTACTTATTAATTTTTACGTAACAACATGTATATCCAAAATTATTGTCACGGCTGATGCTGAAATTTGGGGTCGTGATTTGAAAATATAAGCACAGCTAAAATCTGCATATGAGTGCTGCCAAGTAAAATCAATCATGATAAATTTTCTACAGACGGCTAACTGTACCCGAAATATAATTGAATGCCCGATGGCAGGTTTTCCTTGGTAGCACTCGTATACTCTTCAATTACCAATTATAACCCTAAACACAGAAAGGGCGCAGTCACGCGGTATTTCGACATTCATCTATGCAATGCAAACAATCGATTCTCTTTACATTGAGCCTTTTTATTTTGTAAAGAACCTACTCTATAAAGAACTTCTTAACAAATTTATATAAAAACATAGTAAATTACTTTTATAAAGAACTTTTAAAAGCTTTACTATAAAAGCTGATAGTTCATTCTAGAAAGCTAACTATATATACTTCATTTTCTATTCATTTGTTATTTATATTTCGACACAAATAGAGGTAGTCATATATGTAAAAATTCAAGAAAAATCGATAAACAAATGACTATAATTTACCCACATTATAACGAAATCCTCAAGCCGGCAACAAAATCTTTACTGTAACTTACTTTATATCTGGTTGAAATTTAATAATTCTGTAATTCGAAGCTCTCTATTATGTCAAGAGTTCACTATAACAAGAATAATCTGTATTTTGTCGGACTGGTTCTTTTTGTTATTTAACTCGTAAGTATATTTCAAAATTATACAATCTTTTATAGCCACTTCATGAAAACAGATTCGTTGTAAACCCGAAGCTTACTACAGTATAACGAATTTCTTTGTAATGATCCCTGGACATAACGAACGTAAAATTTTAAATTTATATTAGTTGAGTAGTTTGTTTTAGAGCGCTACAGTCTTTTATTGTTGGTTCATGAATTTAGATTAGTTTATAAATCCAATTACAACCAAAGCTTACTGAAACAAACTTTTTATAATGAATCCTAAATATTATGAACGTGAAATTTTAATTCTATATTGGTCGAGTTTGGAAAGTCTAGATTTATATATTTGATAATTCGATATTATTTGTACAATTTAAATAAAGACTTATAATTCATTTTAAATCTGTTCGTGATTATTATTTAGAAATTAAGTTTAGAATATGTTAATTGCTTATTCTGGACTAATGATAGCGGATTTGTCTCTTATATTACAATTAATAACCCTTCCCTTTAAAAAAAACTTACCACACAGTTGCAAAAATATGCTCAGGTGTTATCTTTAAGTAGAGATGGGAAAATCGAGGATTTTTTGAATCTACTGTGCAGCCTGCACGAGCCCGCGTTACGGCTAATGCGGGCCAGAATTGTTAAATTCCGAGCTTCGGTACAATTCAGAGCTTCAGAAACATTCCGACTGCGCAGTGTCCCATCACTATCTTTCAGTGTTGGAATTGGGTCTATTCCAATTGTTTTGATTAGATTTATTAGATAATTGGATGATTTGAACAATTTGGATAATTGGACAATTGGATATAGTTCAATTACATTAATTGCTTAGTCAAACTAATGACATTTAATTAGCCAATCAAATTTAATTTTGATAAATAGTTTTACTCAAATTACTAATAAATATTTTTTATATAAAAAATTATCATTATTAAATATTTAATAAAAAAACTTCTGTAATTAAAAATGACAAAAGAAAAATATAAACTTATTGAATATTTCATAATTTTAGAAGAAAAGGCAAACAAGTACAATAACTATGCTGTTTGTCAAGATTGCATTTGAGTTTTAGGCCAATTATTAGCATTTCAAAAAAAAATTACAAATTCTAAGCATGCATTGCAAAACATCTTCTAAATTGTAAATATTTTACTAAAAGATATACTGAAGAACAAATTCAAGAAATTGTTAGGTTTAGATTGCAGATAACTTGTCTGAGTCTCTAATCTTAATATCTTATAGATATAGAATTCAATTATAAATTTTTTCTATATATTCTACTTGTAAAAAGTTTAACTGAGTTTTAATAAAGATAAAGGCATGGTCTCACTATTAATATTTTTTAAAAAAAAAATTGTTCAGAAAGCAACAAAATAAGAATTTAAATAATCTAATAAATAGTTTTAAACAAATTTTTTTAATTCTAATTTTGAGAATGAAAATAATGAATCAAAATTAACATTTTCAATGAAATATTTATTACTCATCAAAATTATGAATTACTTAATAATTGCTTGTATAATAAACTAAGACCTGACCAAATTGAAGTATTTGAAAATTTGTTGTTAAAAGCAATAGTTTTCTGTGGTTAATCATTTTGTTAGATTGAAAATTCAGCAATAAAAGAGTTATTTAAATGGATTAATCCAATATTACCTTTGCCAAGTTGTAAACAACTAAGTAAATGCATTCTTAAAAAGTCAACTATTAAAATTTCTAAAACAATTTTAGATAATGCAATTAATAATAATCTTGATGTAATACTTACTTATGATAGTTAAAAAAATTTGAATAACAAATTTTATTAGGATCAATTTTATTTACTTTAACAAACAATATGATTATTTGGAATATCTAACATTTAAGTGGAAAAAGAAGTAAAAATGATTTTATAATTAATGAAACAAAAAAATATTTAATTATTTTAAACAAAAATATATTAAAGTTAATGGATTAATTACAGATTCAGTTTCAGAAAAGGTTACTGCAAAGTATATTATTTATTTATTATTTTTATAATTTTATTATTAATTTATAATTAAATAATAATTAATTAATAATTATATAATTATTATAATTATTTAGAAAACAATTATGTCTTTAGTATTGTGAAAAACTTATTTTATTTGCTATATATATCAATTAAATTTGTGCATCAGTAATATATTTAAAGAATTATTAAACTTAAACAAGACAGCTAAAGAAATAATTAATTTAATTGCATTTTTTTATCAATCAAAGATATAGCTTGGATGTCTTTAAAATAAACAATTATCTATATATAAAATACATATTGTATTAACAACTTCTGCAAATACTTGGTGAAATTTATATTAATATTGTTCCTCTAACTTATTAAAAACTAAGAGCATATTACAAGTATATATAAAACACAATAATTTAAATAAATAATATATATATACTAAATTTATATTGTTATGAGTAGATCTGACCCTAGAATCATGAGAAAATATTGCAGAATAATCTATAATTTGTATTATAAAGATTATTATATTATGATACCTGTGATCCAAAACAATCAAGCTCTTTATTAAGTGATAGCATTGATCTATTAAAGAAAAAGCCACTTTTCTAATTTGGAATATAACTGTTAAGATAATATTGCCTTGACAGTTAAAGTCTGTAGCCATGTTACTATGTTGTTATATATTGAGTTGTATATTATTATAGAATAATTAAAAAAATTCTAAAGTAATGATGAATGAATTAAAAGAAAAAAGAAAAAGTAGTAATAAAAAAGAGAAAAACAGTTGGTGACAATAAGAAAAGAGTGCCCTAAGCTGTGTTCAAGTTCTCTTCTTTTTCTTAAAAATTCTTTATAAAAATGTGTTTTCCTGCCCTTTATAATAAAAATCCCAAACTATTTTGTAATAAAATCTAAATTATCTTTTAAATCTGTTCTAAACAAATAAATAAATTTTATAATTAATAAAATCTTAATTGTTATAAATTAAATAACAAAATAATAAAATTCTATACTCTTTTGAACTCATCTTACATCTGAACTCTTTGTAACATTCAAAGATTAACTTTAACTAATACCAAATCGAATCTGCCTCATTTGTCTTGAGTAATATTATATAGCATCAAAATTTATAAAATGACAATTCATTGCATTTTCTCTTGTTTTAATAATGCTATTTCCAACTCAGTAGCCTATATAAATATTGTAATACCAAATATTATAACTGATTATATAAAAAATACACAAAATGCAATATATTACATTTGTAATTAGAAATAGTATTTTTGATTCAAAAGAAAAAATAAAAGAAGAAATTATACATCCTTAAATATATTACATAGATCAGAATAAATAATATTTAGTAGCCTTAAAGTAATAATAATTGCAAAGTTATATTTGTAAATAATGAATTTAGTATTATAAATAAAGTTTAAAATGGCTCTAAGTAACAATATGTCTTGTTTGCTTGATCAATAAACAAGTCCCAATACATTGTATTATTTATAATAAAAACCCTAACACTATATCTGACATAAATCCTGTAAACCCCTATAATGTTACTATTCAAGCCCTTGTTTACATGACTTATCCTACTTGTATTCATTAATTCAAAGTAACCAAAAGCCTTAATTACCTATTAGCCAAATCTAACATCCTCTTTTGAAAAGGTTACTTATAATATATTATAAAAAATATTGGATTGTTGAGTAATTGAGTTGCAATCTTCAAAACCCAACATTTTGGTAATGACTGTGAGATCCAAAAACAATGTTTGCTACTCCTCTCCCTTTTCTGATTCAAGAAAAAATTGAATTAGCAAAAAGAAGAGCTTTTGGCCTGATTTAGTATACTGTAATTCCAACTATAAAGAAAGAGAAAAATTAGCATAGTTTTGGT